CCGCCGCCGAGGACCGCCCCCAGATGCGTCACTTCCGGAAGGCTGGACCACTCCCCTTTCCCGAGGGCGTGCTCGGGCCGGCCTCCGCTGCGCTTGACGTTGCGCGCGCCCTGAGTTGCTATTGGCGGTGAGCTGGTTTTCTGCCGGCGTTTGTCTCTTGCACCTAAGACCCCTGCTTTTCACTTCCTGGGCACCCAGACCTTGGCCATCCCTTTCAGTAGAGTGGGTACTGGTTTTGGTACTGGGAGAGAGTTGCTGGCTTTGAGAGTATAATTCTTGTTCCGTTTAAGTCCTTGAAATATGTGATCTTGGCCAAGTCATTTCGTTCATCTGTATCCCCTGGTGTCATCTACTGAATTGTGGAGTGACTACATGAATAATGTGTTCTAGATCCAGTGGTGGGCTGAGGAGTGTTTAACAACTGGCTGTCCAGGGGAAGAAAGGGAATGTGTGTGTTATATATAAGCACATATTTACCAAAATTTGCTGATATAAAGAATGTATAGCACACAATTTACAAATAATAGAAATATACCATAGCAAACTCCATATGATTGATTTTCACAGAATTCTTTCACTTATTTTTGCTAAATTCTTTATGTATTGTGTGTGTTTGTGTATGCGCACACACATGCCACTGGAGACAGAACTCTGGGCCTTGCTAGGCATGAGCTCAACCGCTGGGCTACATCCCCAAGCACTTGCGACACTTACTTTGGTAGCCAAATGTTACAAGGAGTGTAACTGCAACAAGAATCTTGATTGCCATTGTCTTCTGTTAATACAAGAAGGAAATGAAAAAGCAGAAAAATTTGAATTGTCAATGAGGGGAGTAACTTCTTTGCTGAATCAGAAAACAGTTTCAAATAATGGAAGAGTTATTTATTTTTGTGCTGTTCATCATGTTTTGTTGTTGTTGTTGTTGTTATTGTTTTTTTGTTTGTTTGTTTGGTGCCGGGGATTGAACTCAGGGGTACTCCAGCACTGAGCCACATCCCCAGCCCTATTTATTTTATTTTATTTATTTATTTTTTTAAATTTAAAGCAGGGACTCACTGAGTTGCTTAGTGCCTCATTAATTGCTGAAGCTAGCTTTGAACTCTAGATCTTTCTGCCTCAGCCTCTTGAGCCTCTGTGATTACAGGTGTGTGCCACCTTCCCCAGCTTGTGCTATTCATAATATTACAGACATAAACATAAAGTTTAAATCTGAATTATTAACATATTCTTCATCACTTAAAAAAAGGTTTTTTTAGTTGTAGTTGGACACAATACCTTTATTTTATGTATTTATTTTTTATGTGGTGCTGAGGACCGAACCCAGCGCCTGGCATGCTAGGCGAGAGCTCTACCACTGAGCCCCACCCCAGCCCCATCACTTTCTTAAGTCCAGATAAATAAACAAAACAGTAATAAAGCACTTGCCCCATGGTTGGCTTCAGTCTATCAACCTGACCTTACTAGACACAGAGGAAGACAGGATCTGTAACATATCTTATTTATGTGGTAGTTTAATCATACAGATACAAGGAATATAATACCAAAAGTGTAGGTAAAATTATTAGGAAGTGATGAGATTGGAGAATTTATTACCTTTATTTTTAATATAATTCAATCATGTATGTCTGTATGTATTTATGTTTTGCTGTGCTGGGGATCAAATACAGGGCCTTGCACATGGTAGGCAAATGTTCTACTACTGAGCTATATCCCTAACTCTCCAAATTTCTATAATTTAATTTCTTTTCTTTCTTTTTTTTTTTTTAGCACTGAATCAAACCTAGTCAAGCATTGTACCACTAAGCTATATCCCCAACCATTTGGATGGAGGGGATTAAACCTAGTGATACTCTATCACTGAGCTATTCCCCCCTTTTATTTTTTATTTTGAAACAGGGTCTTGCTAAGTTACCCAAGCTGGCCTCAAACTCGAAGCCTCCTGCCTCATCCTCCCAAATCACTGGGATTACAGGTATGTATCACCATGCCCAATTTATAATTTAATTTTTACCAGTGGCTATGTTTAACATAGCTATGTTTACAAAATTCTGAACATTTTTTAAAATATTTTTTAGTTGTAATTGGACACAGTGTCTTCATTTTATTTATTTTTATGTGGTGTGAGGATCAAACCCAGCACCTCTCATGTGCTAGATGAGTGCTCTACCGCTGAGCCACCCCAGCCCCAAATTCTGACATTTTAACAATTGATTTTCAAGAGCTGATAGGGGCCTGTTTACAACCACTATACCTTAGTTTTCTCATCCTTGGCAAGGATGTTATGAAGACAAGACAAGATCAAGCTTATTGTGTAAGGTGAGACTTGAACTCATTGCAATTGTCCCTGTGGAAGACATTGAAATTTATAAGGGACAAAGAGGAAGGATCAACCAGCAGAATTTATCCGACTTTATTACCTGAAGGGGCATTAAGGGGAAGAGGATGGAGGATTGGTGATAAATCCTGCAGCTAGAGAGACCTTTTCAAAATGGAAATGTATTCTTAATCTGTTATAATTGTTTTCCTGTTGTTCTTAGGCTAAAGACAAAACTCCTTAAGGGCCTGAAGGCCCTGTGTGATCCCACACCTGCCTCTCTCTGGCCATATCTCCACCAAGCTGCACCTCTTGTCTGTCCCCTCAGTCCCACTTGCACTGTGGCAATTTCCCACATGTATGGGCATTGTGTAAGCTAAGCCCCTTTCTTGGAAGAATTTTCCCTCTCTTTGTGCTTAGCAAACTTCTGTCCATCTTTGTTTTTTGTTTGTTTGTTTGTTTGTTTTTAAAGAGAGAATGTGAGGAGAGAGAGAGAGAGAGAGAGAGAGAGAGAGAGAGAGAGAGAGAGAATTTTTTTAATATTTAAATTTAATATGCCAGGCGAGCGTGCTACCGCTTGAGCCACATCTCCAGCCCTTCTGTCCATCTTTGGATTAAACACTCCTCACTGCACCAGAGAAATCCCCCTGCCTGGGCCCTTCCTCTTCTCTGAGCCTGAAGACCAGGCATTTGTTTTACTGCATTGTGCATGTGTGATTTGATCTTGTCTTCCTGCCAGGCCCAGTGGCACAGGCCTGTAATCCCAGCAACTTGGGAGGCTGAAGCAGGAAGACTGCAATTTCAAAGCCAGCCTGGGCAACTCAGTGAGACTCTGTCTCAAAAATCAAGAAGGCCAGAGATGTAACTCAGTGCTAGAGCACTCCTGGGTTCAATCCCCAGAACTGGGGGAGGGGGTTAATCTTTACCACCAAACTGTAAATTCTATGAGGACAGAGACACATTTGCTTTCTGCCTTGTGTGGACTCTACAGTGCTAAGGACTGTTCCTGGCAGAGTAGGCTCTTGATATACAGAAATGGTTCTGCAACATTAAGCCTTGAAAAAAGCCTCCTAATACAAATTCATTTTTAATTCAACACCACAAAATCAATACTCTTCCTTGCACATGAAGAAATAAACTGAATCTCAAGTTATTTAGCTAAGGTCACTCTGTACAAAAAGATGTAATAGAGTTCAAAATCAGCTGTCTGACCCAAAAAGGTTTATTCTTTACCCTCTCTTTCCCCAGATCCTTCTCAGATGCCACCCAGTTTTCTAGAGAAATTTCTAGAATACCTGAATACCTAGAATACCCAGAATACTGAAGCCTAAGAAGATCCCTACTATTCTTGACTCTCCCACATTCTGACCCCAGGGATTAGTTAATAGAGGAAAAAAAAAATCTGTGGCTCTGCAGCACCCTCTGCTGTCCAGTCACTTTCTTGGTCCCAGAAGAGGCTGCCTATAGTCAACCATCCCTTGTAATCCCACATGGCGTGGAGAACACAGAGGTCCAAGAGAACACACATGCTCTTTGTAAGGCAGGACAAAGGAATGCTGTCTTTCCCTACTTCCTCAATTGTCCAGGCCTATGTCATAGGTCCTGTAAAATACATTGAGATTAAGCTGTAAGCAAATGATGTGTATCTTTGTATGACTTAGATTTCTGTTTGTTGAGCTGTTTTTACTTTGACGTATAACTTTTTCACTGAGGGCTATAAAAGTGGTCCCTGTACTGGTCATGGTAACTCATACCTGTAATTCCAGCAATTTGGGAGACTGAAGTAGGAGGATCACAAGTTCGAGGCTAACCTCACTAATTTAGTGAGGCCTTGAGCACCTTCGTGAGCCTCTGTCTCAAAACACAAATTTAAAAGGGCATGGGAGGCTAGGTGTGGTGGCACACACCTGTAATCCCAGCTGCTCAGAAGGCTGAGACAGGAGGATTGAGAGTTCAAAGCCAACCTCAGCAACAGCAAGGTGCTAAGCAACTCAGTGAGACCCTGTCTCTAAATAAAATATAAAAATAGGACTGGGGATATGGCTCAGTGGTTGAGTGCCCTTGAGTTCAATCCCCAGTACCCCCCCAAAAAAAATAAAATAAGAAAATAAAAGGGCATGGGGTTATAGCTCAGTAACAAAGCACCCCTGAGTTCATTCCTCAGTACCCAAACAAACAAAAAGTGATCTCTGCAGTGGTAGAGTCTTAGTTATAAGGCTTATGAAGACAGATTTAGAGGATCTAAAAACTGTGTATGTGTGAGTGTG